TAACCAGATTTTGGTAGGCTATAGGAACTTAGAACAATTAATTATGTATAACTAATTAATAAAAATCATTTATAAAATATGTACCATTCTGATTTTATAGCCCTATGGTTTTTTTAATGTATGACTTTTACAGGCCACATTATTGTTAAGATATATTTGTAGAATAGGACCCCTGCCAAGGAACTTGAAGTCCAGAAGAAGCATAATATTAAGGAAAATTAAATATATATGTGAAACTTGTATATAATTTTATATTTGCCATTATTTGGTAGTAAATTAAGATTCAATAGATTTTATGCATTTCTTATTGGGTGGAAAGTCTTTGGGGGAATAAGCAGCATTTGAATTGGCCTTTGATGAATGGATAACATTTAGAAACACAGAAGGGAAAAGTGAACAAAATTAGGTGTGAGTAATCATAGAAGGATTGGAGTTGGTTTGGGAATCAACAGAACATAGTTTTATCAAACTATAGCAGGTATGTGAAGTAGAGAACCGACTAATTTGTCAGTGAGTTCAAGTTTAAGTGAAGTTTACCAATTGTTTTTTGAGATGTTTAAAATTTGATTTTTATTGAGATCTTTTATTTTGACAGGTTGAAACTTCTTTTGCAGAATGGTAAGAAACTTTCATGCTTCTTTTATTGCTTTTTGTTCATGCTGAAATTTTGATAATCTGCAGTTGACTAAGTTTACTTCAAAAAGAGTAGGAAATTGAAAGTAGGATTTTTCACATTAAATTTTAAAATACACTTTTTAAAAATATAAAGATGAAGTTTACTGGAAATGACAGCATAAGAGTTTCTAAGACTCCATTCGTACAGAAAAACAACAAGAAAATTGTCAAAATAAATAAATAAATACATTAGAATTTTCATTTGTGATAATCTGGACTCCACTAAAAAAAATTAGGATAACCAAGGTAAATCTTATTAAATCTGATGCATTGTACTAGGAGAGCACCATGATGTTTTTAAAATACCTGCTCACAGTGATACTATCCCTGTATCAGGGGTAGTCAGGAAGAGAGTATCTCACACTTGTGGTAGAAATTACTAGTGCCAGAGGGAACATGAGGGACCTTATTTCTAGATAGCTCTTTTGAGTGCCTTGACCTGCCTGACAAGTCCCTCAAAGACCAGCACAAAGGCTTGCCTTTGTTTTTCCTCATGTGGAGCAATCACAGGGCTGGGCTAGTTTTCAGGCAGTGTTTTCTGAAAGCATTTAAAGTCACAAACTTGCCACAACAGCCTGGGGTAATGGATAAAAACTGGAATGAGCAGTAGACAGATCAAAATGCCTAGGACAGGGCTGGGGCTGTAGCTCAGTGGTAGAGCACTTGACTAGCACCTGTGAGGCAATGGGTTTGATCCTCAGCCCCTTAGAAAGGGAGATAGAAAGAATAGAGGTCTCAAAGCTTCCAATAGTTTGGCAAGTCCAGAAAGACACAGATATGATGAGGACTGGAAATATGCTCAGAAAATACTGAAGAATTCCCCAATTTTCTACCTCCAACTAATATTTGGAGATTGGCACAGCAGGAACTTGAGGCAGAGGCAGGGATGTAACAGCCTGGATAAGCACTAAAAGAGCATCTCTGCATAGAGGTGTCTTCTAAGATTGGGAGAACTCTTTATTTTATTTTTTGCTTTCTTTGTTTTCAGGCATATAAAGTAACTCAGACAAAACAGTATCTCATCAGTTAGCAAAGAAAACAGATTTCATTAGTCACTCATAACAAAGAATAAAGACATTTCAGAAGTCTATAGAAGAGTCATTAAACAAAAAGCAGCTCAGAACAAACAGGGAAAACAAATTTAATAAGGGAAGGTTAATCTAATTTTGATTTCACATTAAAATATGAGAAATGTCCAGTTTTCTACAACAAATAGAACAGCAAAACAGAAAGTTTGAAATTAGAAATTATGTGAAAATTTTCATAGAAACTATGAGAAAAAAAGTTTGGCCTCTTTATGATAAGAAAAATAAGAAAAAGGAGAAGGAGAAGAAGAAAACCAACTAATATAAACTGTAAACTATACCCAAGGAAGCCCAGAGAATTTGGACAGTTTATAAAAGAGGGTACTCAATGAAATAAAGGAAACTATAGATAATGAACTAAATGAAACCAGGGAATGATGTCTGAACAAATATAGAATATCAATGAAGAGAGAAATTATAAAAATTAAACAAATTTTGGAACGAAAAGTAAAATAACTGAAACTATAAACTTTACTAAAGGGATTCAACAGCAGATTTGAGCAAGCAGAAGAAAGAAATCAGTAAACTTGGTTGGTCCATAGAGAATATCCAGTCTGAAATGGAAGACTAGAGCATGAAGAAAATGAAATATATCCAGTAAACCAAAGGGAATTTGTTATGCTCGAGTTCAGGACCCCCAAAAGACCACCAGAAACCAAGATCGATGTAAGGAGCAAAGAGGCATTTATTGCGAACTAGCTCAGTCCTCTGCGCACACAGCAACTGGTGATGTTGAGAGGCCCTGAGCCCAGGGTTTGCAGCAGTTTTATACAATCTTTGGGGAAGACAGGGACTTCACATACATCATAGCATCTCTTAGCAAACCATCACACACTGCAGGTAAATCATAAAACAACTCTAAAACATGACTAGCACATCCACTGGCAGGAAAAAGTTGGGTAGGGGTGATTGGTTAGTACAAGAGGGGGATTTGTTTGAACTGATTGGTTTAAGCCACAAGGGGAGTACATGCTGAACTCCTGGTTTCCCAACATATTACCAACCACCATAAACTACTGGGAGGGCCATCTGGCATCCCAGGTATTTTCCCTGTCTCATGCTGATTGGAGGTTGCTATGGGTTCCAACCTAGCCTGATTGAGTCAGGGACACCTGGTGCAGCAGATCTCCCCAGTTATTTGTAGATAACAACTCAGCAGGGTAGGTATGTGCCTAGGAGTGCTCTGTGGGTCTTTCCAAGGACAAAGGTCACCATTTACCTGCAAATGCCAGGATTTTATTTCCTTTTATTGCTGAGTAAAATTCCACTGGGTATATATGCCACATTCATCCACTGAGGGGCATCTAGCTTGGCTCCATAGTTTAGCTATTGTGAGTTATGCTGCTATAAACATTGGTGTGGCTGTGATATGATTTTTAGGTGTTCTCTCCTGTCCTGTGTTTGAGGACCTAGTTGGTCCAAACTGACATTTTTTTTCCTATGTATTCATATGGAATAGCTGAGATACCTCAGACATCAACTTGGAGACATCTGTGAAGACCTCTGACTTGTTTAGCTCTCCTCTATGAGTGATGCCACTTGCCAGGATGGGTCTGTGTCTGTGTGACCTTACATGGCTTCTCTGGAAGCTTCGGGATCAATTGTGTCTGTAATGAGCCTACACTTTGCAGAAGGTTCATGGGATGGCTTCCTATTCTCTGAGGTCTTCTCAATCTCCCTGATCTGCAGATCCTATCCATCTTACACTTATCCTTTCCATTAATCAGAGTAAGTGTGAGTACTGGAATTCTGCATTCTGTACTACTTGTACTGGAGGTGATGGCTTCTGATCTGTGCTAAAACCAGGTTGTTGTTTAGAAGCAAAATGTTTGCAATACACTAACAGATAACAGTTATCACGGGGACGGCCTCTATTGAGTGTCTTATACAAAGGTGAGCATAGGGCTGGCTTGGGAACATTTCACACAGACTTTATGGGATTACTCCCACACAGGGCATGGGAGAGGTGTTTCATCAGCACTAATGCCACAAGGGAGCAATGCCTCAGTGCATCAAGGTGAAGCTGATGCCCTCAGCTTCCGTTTAGGAAAAGCACACCCCCCCTTGTACCTGATTTTTGTAACTGGTCTATTAAGAATGGGGAATGTGCAGCTGGAGATAGACTTCTCCATGTGGTGTGCATCGACGAATAGAAAACTGTAGGATAATAGGAAAACACATTAGTCACATGACATATTCCACCAGCCCTAGTTGGGACTTGTCATTTCTGTATGAAATGGACTGAAACATCAGTTGGAGTCCTTCTGAAAATCATTCCCAATGAATGGGAGGATTCTAGGAGCAGATGAGTGCTTGACTTTGGATAGAGAACTAATGTATACTATGAGCAGATGCATTATTTTATGATGCTCAGAATGAAGGCACTAGAGGGTGAGGGATTCAACCTCTCCTTTGACAAGTATGATTGAGTTTGGAAGAGCCATGTAGCCTGCCTTGAGACCTCTGTTTTGGTCAGCAGAATGACTTTGGCCAGCATATTCCTAAATATTTGGGCTCCCTAATCTTGTGGTAACTCTCTTTGGGCATCAGCTTACCTGGTAGCAAGTACTCCCAGACCAGGCTAATCACACATCTCCCAGGAAGTGGAAGCTCATCAACATACACTTGCCATCCTACAGAAGAGCAGTGCCTCTGGGAACCTTGTCCAGGGGGTGGCACATCTTGGAGCTCCAGTGATGAGGGGAGGGAACTATTGTAACATGGATCAAGGTTTTGACCTCAGTGGCAATGTCAATTTCCTGAGGTTAGCTCCCTTTTGTGATAGCCCTGGTACTTGAAGTTTTCCCCCTCAGTGAGCAAAGGCTGAAACTCTAAAGCCAAAAGAAGACATGGAAACCTCCCCCACAAGGGCTATATTGGGAAAGAAATGGGAGCGGACATTCCTTTCTACTTCCAGTGGAGACAGGGACAGAAGGCAGAGTGGTTCAGCATAGGAGGTAAGATCAGGATGCGGAGGGGTGTTGCAAAAAGTACCTCCTGAAAGATTATAAGGAGAGGGCATGTGGACTGGTTCTCTGGCACCAGGTGAGGGGAAGAGCTGCTGTGCGGCCAGCAGCACAGGTTGCATGGGAACAAAGGCCTGTGCCTTGGTGCTGCTTTCTCTTATGGCATAGTGCCTGCCTTCACAGGTGTCCGACTGCCACAGAGAATCTGGAATGTCCACTTGATAGTCAGTTGGGGAGTAGCCAAGAAAGGGCTTGTGGTGATAGCTGCCTTCATGCCATAATGTGTTTTTTGTTTGTTTGTTTGTTTGTTTGTTTCTCCAGTACAGGAGTGGGCTGTAAGTGAAGGCTGCGGCTCTCAGCACTTTCAGCAACTGCCAGGCATGCTCCTCCACTTTCCTCTTGCAGCAAAGAAAGAGAAGGAAGCCCACAGTGATCACCTAGTACAGCCCCAGCAATTCAAAGTACAATGGCACCTAGGCTAAGAGAAAAGCTGACTGACAGCTGTCGCTTGAGACATTGATACTTTCTCCTTTCTCTACTTGACATGGTTCATTCATGCATTCATTCCTTCCCACTCTCCTCCAAGTCATGCCACATTCTCTACTGATTGAGTACAAGCTAGTTTGGCAGGAAGCCCAAGAGGCCACTTTGGCATTTGGCACATAGGTGGACTGGGGCCATAACCTACCCTGACTCTGTCAGGTCTTCTGGCCATAACCTACCCTGACTCTGTCAGGCCTTCTGTCATGCCATCCTTCTGACTGAGAAGCCTCACTAAGGGCAAGGTCCTTGAAAAAGTCAAAACTCCTCACTTGACAATGACTCCGATGTAGCTTTCTGTTTGGGCAGAACATGGTTTGAGTCTTCAAGGAGTCCCTCCTCTTCTAGTGGAGCCTACCTCTTAACTGCTTAGCACTTCCCACAGGCAGCCACATCTGCATCCCTCTAAAGGGCATTCCCGTACACTCCAAGAACAGAAGGGCTACTTACATCAAGGAAGGTCCAGGTCCTTCTTTGGGGGATCCATCAGTCTGAGGCTTCTTAACAGTCCTATGGCTCTGGAAAGAATGAACTCACCCTCTGCCTGTTACACCAATGGGAGTCCTCCAAAGTCCCTAGCCCCATTATGCCCCCAAGATGAGATCAGCGGATTTCTAGCACTGAGAATACAGGATTGGCGGTTGTGGAGTGGGTAACATTTGATGCAAGGAAGGGACTCCATCTTGTGACACTTCATGGACATAGTTGTCTCCATCAGAGAAAGGTCCCAACACAGAATTGTCTGTTCCCCACTTCATATGGGGAACTCACAGAACATCCCCCTCAAAAGGCCTCATACCCTCAGGAATTTCTATGTAGGGGTTGTTGGTTAGGGAGCCATTTCTGCATAGCTGCTACTTCTTGTTCTTGTTCATGTTCTACTACTTCCTCTTTTTTCTTTTATTAATTGACAATGGACTCTTATTTTATTAATTGATGTGTTGTGCTTAAAATGAAACACAGTGTCTCAACACATGCTAGGCTAGTGCTCTACCACTGTGTCAAAATCCCAGTCCTGTGGATAGTTTTTCAGAGGTGAGTGGGTCAGGGACACAGTGAACATTGGACAGCCCTGGAAATAAGAAATTTCTGCATGAGCAGTCAAAGAGACACAAAGCTCCAAAGTACCATGTGGTGCAAAATTCCTTCTGTGGCTCCTGGACTATCTCTGTTGTTTCTTCAAACAGTGTTTCTTTGGCATCATCCATCTTGGTGGGAGCTGTTCCCTAGGTGATCCTGAGTCTGTTTCCAGCTTCATCTTCCTCTCTATCCTTCAGACACCATTCCTTTATGTGCATGCCAGAGTCCACCAAGAACACTGAATTTTGGCTCAGACTTCCCCTTTCATGGCTTATCTTGCAAACATTGGGGAGAATTGTGTCTGCAATGACCCTCTGCTTTGAAGAAGGTGCATGGGATGGCTTTCTTTTCTCCAGGGTCCTCTCAGTCTCTCTGATCTTCAGACCCTGTTGATCATCTTATACTTACCCCTTCATTTAATCTGAATTAGTGTGAGTACAGGAAGTCAGTATTATATACTACCTGTACTGAAGATGATGCCTTATGATCTTTACTAAAACAAAGTTATTGTTTAGAAGCAATAATTTTGCCATACACTGACAGATAACAGTTATAAAGTGGAAGGCCTTAATAGAGTGCACAAACATGAGCACAGAGCTGGTCTGGGAACATTTCATGTGGACTTGATTGGTTTATCCCCACACAATGGGTGGAAGAGGTGTTTTATCAACACTGATGCCACCAAGGGAGCAATTCCTCAGCACACCAAGATGAAGCTGTTGTCGTCGGCTTCCATTTAGAAAAATGTCCCCTTGTACCTGGTTTGGAATCTGGCCTATTAAGAAAAGAATGGGAATGTGCAGCTGGAAATAGACTTCTCCATGTTGTGTGCATCCATGAATAGGAAAACACATTTGTGATATATTACACCAGCCCATGTGGGGACTTGCATTTATATATAAAACTGAGTAAAAAATTCAATTCTTTCTGAACCATTTACATTGAATGGGAGGATTCTAGGAGCAGAAGGGTGCTTGACTTTGGCTAGGGACCTAACTTTATAATATGAACATTAGCATTTTTTTTCCATTATGCTCATAACAAAGGCATTAGATTGTGAGAGCTTCAACCCCTCTTTTGACAAGTGATTTGGTGTTGAAGAGCCATGTAGCTTCTCTTGAAACCTTTGGTTTAGGCAACAGAAGTTATTTGGGTGGCATGGTCCTAACCTTTTGGGCTCCCTAATCTTGTGGTAACTCTCTTTGGGCATCAGCTTACTGGTAGCAAGTACTCCCAGACCAGGCTAATCACCCATCTCCCAGTAAGTGGAAATGTTTTAATGTCCTCTTCCCATGTTGCAAAATAGCAGTGCCTCTGGGGACCTTGTCAGGGCATTGCATACATGAGAGCTTCATTGATGGGTGGAAGAGAATTGAGCTCTTCCACAAGTGTTGTTTCAATATGTCCCTTCCCAGCCACCCTCCAAATCTCTTGTATTGGTGAGACCTGTTCCCCTATCCTAGAGCTGAAGAGCATTGCCTAGGTAAGGGCAATTGAGATGCAAATGACTCTGACTCTTTCTAAAACCTTTACTATTGAAATATCTACCAGGGCTGTGACCTCTGTTTCAATGTCAATTGTTTGAGTTTTGATCCCCCCTTTTTTTAACCTTCTGAATCCTGGCATTATTTATTTATTTTTTATTGGTTGTTCAAAACATTACATAGCTCATGACATATCATCTTTCATACATTTGATTCAAGTGGGTTATGAACTCCCATTTTTACCCCAAATACAAGTTGCAGAATCACATCGGTTACACATCCACATTTTTACATAATGCCATATTAGTGACTGTTGTATTCTGCTACCTTTCCTATCCCCTACTATTCCCCCTCCCCTTCCCTCCCATCTTCCCTCTCTACCCCATCTGCTATTATTCAATTCTCTCCCTTGTTTTTTCCCCTTTTCCCCTCACCATCTCTTATATGTAACTTTGTGTAACAATGAGGGTCTCCTTCCATTTCCATACAGTTTCCCGTCTCTCTCCCTTTCCCTCCCACCACTCGTCTCTGTTTAATGTTAGTCTTTTCCTCATGCTCTTCCTCCCTGCTCTGTTCTTAGTTGCTTTCCTTATATTAAAGAAGACATTTGGGATTTGTTTTTTAGGGATTGGCTAGCTTCACTTAGCATAATCTGCTCTAACGCCATCCATTTCCCTGCAAATTTCATGATTTGTCATTTAATAGTGCTGCGTAATACTCCATTGTGTATAAATGCCACATTTTTCTTATCCATTCATCTATTGATGGAATCAACCTAGATGTCCTTCAATAGATGATCCCTTTTCTAATAGGCCTGGTACCTGCAGTTTTCAACTTCAGTGAGCAGAGGCTAAAACTTTAAAGCAAAAATCAGGCATTGAAACATTCCCCCAAGGTCTAGAGTGGGAAGAGAATGAGAGTGGACATTCCTTTACACTACAAGTAGAGACAGAGTAGGAGGCAGACTTGTCCATTATGGGAGGTAGGTTCAGCATGTGGAGGAGTGGAGCAAAAGGTATCTCCTGAAAGATAATTGGGAGTGGAGACATGGACTAGTGCAGTGGCATCGGGTTAGAGAAGAGCTCCTGTGTGGCCAGCAGCACAGATTGCAGGAGAACAGGGGCCTGTGCTTTGGTGTTCCTTCCTCTGATGGCATAGTGCTTGTCTTTACAGTATCCAACTTGCACAGAGAATCTAGAATCTCAACCTGAATGTCAGTTTGGAGACCAACTGGGGAAGGGCCTGTGTTGATAGCTCCCTTCATGTCATATTGTTGTTTTTTGTCTCTCCAGTACAGGAGTGGACTGTAAGTGAAGGCAGTGAATCTCAGCACTTTCTCAAACTGCACGCCAAGATTTTCCAGTTTCCTCTTCCAGTACAGAAAGGAAAAGCAGCCCAGAGTGATATATAGTACAGCATCAGCCATCCATATTATAATGGCACCCAATAGAGGATGAAAAAAAAAAAAGAGGCTGTTAAACCACGATGCAAATAAATGACCATGGACTCCATTGAAATCAAATTAAATCAACCTTGTAATTCTAACAAGCCAGACTGGCTCTCTCTAAAACTATGGGAACAGAAGACAGACCTGCAGCTCTTTAGGAGCACAGCTTTATAGCACAGAAAATTACAAAAAGGTGGGGTGTCTTGCAAACTTACAGATAACAGAAATTTAACAAGTATAACACAAAGGAAGGTAGTGAATTAATGGTTCAACGCTTAAGAAATAAATTAGATCTCAGCAAGGAATTTATGAGGCACCATTAGAGTTTCAGAGAGGGTCCTTATCTGGCCAGGAAAAGCCAGAATTTATGAGGTGCCACAAAAGTTTCAGAGAGGATTGTTATCTGGTCAGGGAAAGCCAGCCATGTGTGAGTTCAAAGCATGGGCAGACAATCCAAGCAAGTTTAGAAATCACAGTAATTAACTTTTCATGCCTTTGTGGCCAGATGGCTCCCAATCTTAATCAGGCTGGGTTTATCATTACCTTCTTGTCTTATGTGTCCCTTTCAAAACTTTGAGAGGGTAGGAGAAGATCACTGAGGGAATTTAAATTTTTCAGATAACAGTCCCCAACATCTCAAACTCATCCCAAACCGGTCTCCCTGATAAGGCCTGACTCAAGTTACTCATTTATATTTTTTATCTATTTTTGGCTCCATTGTTGTAATAAGAAGGGCAGTGCTAGTTTTTGCTTCTTCTGAGCTGAGAGGGAACAATGTGGGAGTTCAGGTCAGCTTAAAGTCTGGTTGGGGAAGAACAGGTTATAAAGTTCTGTGAAGATGGATGCTTCTATGGAAGAGAAACAAAAACATACTCATGAACATATATTGCCACCTGTGAAACATGTCAACAAATATCATTAAGATAGCAGAACTTAATTTTTTTTCACCAGGAGAAGTTGTCCCCATAATAAGGCCTGAGTGGACAAGCCCTTTATATAGGAATTTAAATTTTTAACATTTTAAAAGTTATCAGTAATGTAAACACAACATTTACCTTTTAATGTTGCAGATGTCCATTTCCATGA